GACTGTTTTATGTGAATACGAGTTACTTGAATCGCAGGTGTTTTGTATATGAGATGAGGACATGACTGCAGTCAGCGATGAGGCTGAAACCAGCACATCCTGTGCAAGAGTGCTTTGACTTTTTCATTTTACTTAACATTATTTTATCTATCCGTTATACTGAGGAGACCTTTTTGAAGGATATTGTTGTGTTTTGTTTTGTTTTGTTTTGTAATTTTGAGGTGTTGAGTTTTATTTTGGTTTTATAAAATAAACGTGATTGCTCCCCTCACAAATCAGCTCTTTCTTGTTTTTGTTACATGTTCTCTGTGCCTTGTCTTGGACTTTTATGTCACTTCCTGTCTCCTGAGGTGTTTGTAGTCAGTGTGTATCTTATCTTGTTAAGCTTGTTAGCCTCCTGCATCTGTATCTCTACTTTTACTCAAGTATAGTTTTTTAAGTACTCTTTACACCTCTGCAAAACATTTATGTAAATACATTTTCTACTAATATATAGTATATACTAATATAATATATATATATATTTTTTGCTGTATATGTTTGTAGCCAGAAAAGAGCAAAAGGGCAACAGAAAAGCACTCGAAGGTAGAGGCAGAACAGAAACACAGGAAACAGGCTGTGGTTTGTGAGTTCACAGCTAATTTCCTGGTCATTTTTCACACATAACGCCCTCAACATCACATGGAAACTCAGACATACTGTCCGTCAGCGCTAGTGTTTGATTCCCATCACGTGAGATCAGCAACAGACATATAACTTTACTCTACATCGATAGCAGAGAGCTGTATTCACAGTATTACTGGAGATTTGAGTTTAAGAAAGTCATTCGAGGAACTGCTAAGATTTTCATTTTGATTTTCTGAACTCAACCGATGAAGAAATGAAGTTCACATCGATGATTTCTGGGTTTCTCCTGATGGGTATAAGCTCAAAATTTATTATTTTTTTATTTTACATTTTACTGCTACATAAAACGTTTTGTCTAAAAATATGGCTTATTTTTGGCAGTGTATGTGAGTAAAGCTGATGTGTGTGTGTGTGTGTGTGTGTGTGTGTGTGTGTGTGCAGTGAGCAGTTCACAGTGTGTGGATATTACAGAGAGAGGAACGGAGGGAGAACAAGTGACTATTAAGTGTCCTTATGCTAAAGGATATGAAAACTCCTACAAATACTTCTATAAAGGACCTTACAAAGATAAGAATCTTATACTAAAATCTTATGGAGGAGAGTCATCAGTGTCTGAAGGCAGATTCTCTCTGCGAGACGATCATCAGACGAGATCATTTACGATGACCATCAGAGACCTGAGGATGGCAGATGCTGGACTGTACTGCTGTGGAGCTGGATGGGGAGAATATAAACTAATCCAGCTGAATGTGATTAAAGGTGCCTAATGTTCAACACAAAACAAACAGTCTGTTCATCCACTAAGTTTATGATTCGTGCAGTAGTTAACGGTTGTTTTATTAATGTATTTGTTTGATTTAAACGATGTGATCTTGTTGCACAGCTCCACAGAAAACAAGACCTGTCCAGATCTCAACATCCACCCTTCTTCCGTATACAAACATCAGCACTGACCAAACCAGCACAGGTACCTGAACACACACACACACACACACACACACAGGCATGCACACACAGGCACGCACACACAGGCACACACAGGCACACACAGGCACACACAGGCACACACACACAGACACACACACAGAC